ATTTTTTATTTTTTTGACAAATCTTATTTTATTCAGGTAGCAGTCTGATCACATATAGTCCAACAACACTCAAATAATAAATTTAATCAGATGTTAAAAAGATTGGTTTTCAAACATCATAGCCAATGATGCCACGCTTGCCTATGATCTCTCTGACATAAAACCACATTAACACCTCAGTGGCCACCAAACCATTCAGCACAGCTTCCTTAACTGAGTTGTTTGAAGCTACCAGTCTAAGCACTCTTGACTATTTTTTTCAGGCTCTGAATAGCTCTTGGGATCTCAGCAGGGGTGGGAGGAATCAGCTCAACCTTGGTGTAGTACCAAAATGTGGCTAATTGAGACTTCGAGTAAGTCACAGCTGCGTTCACAAGCACTGGCGTCTTCTCCAGTTACGGATAAATTGGGCCATGGTTCTGGGATGGAAAGCTCATTGCCCCGAATGGCCAGCTGAATTTGTTTATTTTTTGAGATAGAGTCCCACTCTGTCGCCCAGGCTGGAGTGCAGTGGCACAATCTCGGCTCACTACAACCTCTGCCTCCCAGGTTCTAGGGATTTTCCTGACTCAATGTCCCGAGTAGCTGGGATTACAGGCACCCACCAATATACCCAGCTAATTTTTGTATTTTTAGTAGAGACAGCGTTTCACCATGACAGCCAGGCTGGTCTTAAAATCCTGACCTCAGGTGATCTGACCACCTCAGCCTCCTAAAGTGCTGGGATTACAGGTGGGAGCCACTGAGCCCAGCCTGTTTGTTTTTTTGAGATGGAGTCTCGCTGTGTCACCCAGGCTGGAGTGCAGTGGCACGATCTCAGCTCACTGCAACCCCTGCCTCCTGGGTTCAAGCAGTTCTACTGCCTCAGCCTCTCAAGTAGCTGGGACTACAGGCACGTGCCACCACACCTGGCTAATTTTTGTATTAGGCTCAAACTCCTGACCTCAGGTGATCCATCTGCTCAGCCTCCCAAAGTGTTGGGATTACAGGTGTGAACCACCAGGCCTGGCAGAATTTTTTTTGTAGAGACAGAGCTTCGCCATCTTGGCTAGGCTGCTCTCAAATGCCTGGGCACAAGCCATCTGCCCACCTCAGTTTCCTAAACTGCTGGGATTATGGGCGTGAGCCACGGCACCCAACCTCCAGGCTGTAACTTGGTGATGTCATTCACTGGGAGGATGAAAACAGGGGATGTCCTGAAGAGGAAGATGTTGAGTTCCATTTGACCCAAGCCGAGTTCTGATGCCAGCTGACTTCTTGGTGAAGCAGCTTCATAAGCAAAACTGCTGAAGGCTTACAAGTTACTAGAAGTTGAAACAGATAGTAGTGTAGACCTCTATGACCAGCTTTGGCACACATGAGGGAAGCATGCCTGGGTTGATCCGAAATTGGGGTTTGATAGAATGAGAGGTCTTGGAAGGTCAAGTGAAGTAAGAAGCTGCCCTGAGAGTGTAGCTGAACATTCCTGGGATCCAATGAGGAAAGTGAACCAAGAGAATCTAAGACCTAGACCAGTGCTTCTCAAATTTGAGCATCACCTGAAGAGCTCATGAAACCATAGCCAGCTGAGCTTCACCCCAGGTTTCTTTCTTTTTTTTTTTTTTTTTTTGAGATGAAGTCACACTCTGTTGCCCAGGCTAGAGTGCAGTGGTGCAATCCTGGCTCACTGCAACCTTCGCCTCTTAGGTTCAAGAGAGTCTCCTGCCTCAGCCTCCAGAGTAGCTGGGATGATGGGCACACACCACCACATCTGGCTAATTTTTCTATTTTTAGTAGAGACAGGGTTTCACCATGTTGGCCAGGCTGGTCTTGAACTCCTGACCTCAGGTGATCTGCCCTCCTTGGCTTCCCAAAGTGCTGGGATTACAGGCATGAGCCACCGTGATGGGCCCTCACCCCAAGTTTCTGATTCAGTAGGTAGGTCTGGGTTGGGGCCTAAGAATGTGCACTGCTGACCAGTTCCCTCATGCTGATGCGGTAGGCCCCGGGGAGTGGGGAAGCACACTTTGAAAACCCCTGGTGGAGAGCAAAGCATCCGGCAGCAGGCAAACGTTGAATCATTTCCAGAGTGAATGGATGAAAAGAGGCGTCTTCTTCAGGAAGAGAGGTCTCCCTGCAGTCAAACACTAGGCTGACGGTAAGGCCACATGGGATAACGGCAGGTGGTAGACAGAGCCGAACTTCAGAGTCTGGATTCAGAGAAGGAGAAATTTGGGGGGACAAGGTCCAGGACTGACCCTGCCAAGGTAATGATGAGAGATCAAGGAATTGAGTGTTACAAGGGTATTCAAAATGAATTACTTCTGGCAGAGGCTAGAGTCTAGAGGGAAGTTCCAACAGGAAGTGAAGATTTGAAGAGGGAAGTAGCTACGCTGGGGCTAAATTCTGTAACGCTGACCCTGTGTAGGCCCTACAGACAGCAGCCCATCCAGGCTATGTACCAGAACTAGCAACACAATCTACGGGAAGTGTGCGATCCCTCAGCAACGACGCTGCATGCAGTGTAGCTTCCCTTACGGTTTTACAGGGGCCGCGGGGAGCACACCCTGTGGGGGCGACTGTGATTGGGTCTAGTTCGTGGTCCCTCCAGCAGGCGTTCTCCTCCAGCCGCTGTAATGATGGGCGCCAGGGCTCAGGTGCTGACCGCGCTACTTGACACCTGTGCAACCCTCCTCAATGTTCCTTACCTCTACAGGCCTCAGGTTTCCCGCCTAAAAATGCGCTAATAATAGTAAACCACACAATCTCAGCGAGAGGACACGGTGACGTGATTAACGTAAGGCTGTGGTCATGTTGTCTACTACAGGTCCTGGCCAACGCTCAGAGTGGCGTGTAGCCTGCGAGCTTCACGTTCCTGAGGGCCCGTGTGGCCGCACATCTGCAGGACGGCGCCGACCTTTTGCTTAACCAGTCCGGCTGCCTCTGGGATGTTCGGGCCGCGGCCGGACTAGGGGGTCTGAAAAGGGTCTGCGCAGCCGCAGAAGGGCTTGCAGTGGCGCCTGACGGCCGCTGGGGACCACGGGAACCGATGGGTTAGCCCCGCCCCGAGGGGTCAGGGGTCAGGGGCCACCGGATGGCGAGGGATCTGCTGCTGGTGGTGGAGACACCCGGTTCCCGGCCTATGGCTCCGGCGCAGCGCTGCCCCCTGTGCCGCCAGACTTTCTTCTGTGGTCGCGGGCACGTCTACAGCCGCAAGCACCAGCGGCAGCTGAAGGAGGCTTTGGAAAGGCTCCTGCCCCGGGTGCGGAGGCAAGGCTAGAGATGGGCTGGGAGTGCGGGGCAGGTCAGTGAAGGCCAGAGCGGGTGTGATTTGGGGGTTCTCTTCAGGGTTCTACTTGGCTTCTTCGCCGCAGGTGGAGGCGGCCCGCAAAGCCATCCGCGCCGCTCAGGTGGAGCGCTATGTGCCGGAACACGAGCGATGCTGCTGGTGCCTGTGCTGCGGCTGTGAGGTGCGGGAACACCTGAGCCATGGAAACCTGACGGTGCTGCACGGGGGGCTGGTGGAGCATCTGGCCAGGTGAGAGCCGGGCTGGGAGACTCCTCCAGCACAGACGTGTACATACATATACGGGAGGACGCTTTTGTGATTTGATCAGGATGGATGGATTGAGTCACTTCACAGGTGTTGCCAGCCTTGTTGGGGTAGGGGTCGTATGCTGCCACGGTCCCAAGTGGTTCTGGTGGTCTAGCTGCGAAAGGCAGCTTGGTCACCGCCCCTAACCTCCCCTTGGATTCTCACAATTTTATGGGAAGAAAAGAGATGAGATCTTGGAGACTGGTAACAGTATTCCTCTCTCAGCCCTGCCCCAGGTAGAAACCCAGATGTCAGTTTGCACTACAAACCTAATGTTTAATATCTGAGTAATATTTTATAACCTATAGCTGAGATTGCTTATCCTCTCCATTTTCAGCCCAGAGCATAAGAAGGCGACCAACAAATTCTGGTGGGAGAACAAAGCTGAGGTCCAGATGAAAGAGAAGTTTCTGGTCACTCCCCAGGATTATACACGGTGAGTCACTGGTATTGAAGGTGAAGTAGCAGAGTGAATTCTCTGGATCTTTGTCAGGTATGGGAAGTTACTCTATTAACTAGAAAGTTCAGGAGGGACTTCTGAAGTATCTACTACCTTCATAACACTTACTATTCTAGGTACTATATTGGACACAAAAGTGTGACAGTTCTTGAGGTTTAGTTGGGAAATGGGATTTAGCAAATGGACAATACTAAAAGTTGACTATTATCAACTACTTAAATGTGAGGCACAGACAATACTAAAGTTTGTTTGTTAGAAGAGGCTCTTTATAGTGTCTAAGAAACTGCTACTCAGCCAGTACCTACTTTCAATATTTTTTGGACTCGTATTTTCTTTTATTATTTTTTTAGGTGGAATTTTGCTCTTCTCGCCCAACACAGAGTGCAGTGGCATGATCTCAGCTCACTGCAAACTCTGCCTCCCAGGAACAAGTAGCTGGGATTACAGGCATGTGTCGCCACGCCCATCTAATATTTTTTTCTTCTTCTTTAAGAGGGAGTCTCCTTCTGTCACCCATGCTGGAGTACAATGGCATGATCTCGGCTCACTGCAACCTCCGTCTCCCAGGTTCAAGCAATTCTCCTGCCTTAGCCACCTGAGTAGCTGTGATTACAGGTGCCCACCACCACACTCAGCTAATTTTTGTATTCTTTTTTTTTTTTT